GTTTGGTTACGTGGGAAAGATCCTAACATAAAGGCTCGTTCTAGGAAAACCAACGATCCATCATGCAGGTACGTCGTCGCGCCGACCCACGCCGGCGCACGCACCCCGTGTGGGCGATCGAACCGACACGCGTAGACACCACTAAAACTTATGGCCAACTATAAGTTTAAAGGATCGAACCCACACGCGATCGAACCCACATTCTCTTTGCTTGCTTCAAGCTCGTAGTGTGCCTCGCAGAACGTGCAAAGATCAACAGAAAGACCCAATAAGGGCAAGGAGAGGAATCAGTGAGGTATGCGAAGTACCAGAAAATAAATAATTTAGCATATAAAAATATGCGACCCAAAAAAAAAGGTACCTTCGCGAGAGAGGATCGCTCGACGACGGTGAAAGAGGGGAAGCCTTCCTCGCAACGGAAAAGACATCCAAGCCTCTTCAAGCTGATGTGCCGTCGTTGTCCGCCAACATCGAGGCGCTCCGACGAAATGTCCGGTCGCCGGAAAGGTAAGATGGCGAGGGAAAGATCCGAAGAAAGGCGGGATTTCAGGCGTCGGAGTTGGAGTAGGGGCCGACAGATCTACGTACGACCAAGAAGAGAAGAAGAAAAAAATGAAGAAGGAGAGGCGAGAAGGTCAGATTTTTGCGCAGGGAGGAACGGAGGTCGGCCAGATCTGGTCATCGGCGTTGGAGGAGACCGGTGGACGACCCAAAAAGAGGAGATCCGGCGAGTTGCTCGATGAGAGGGGAAATGAGAGCCTGCGGCCGGAGAGGGAGGCAGAGGTCGGCTGGAAGGTCTATTGATAAAAACTATTTATTTTAATGTCAACTATTAAAATATATGTCTGACATTTGGACAAAGAATTGTCTATTGATAAAAATAAGCAAGACTAACATTCATTAAACTTACCCAATCCCTTGAATGAGAAGCATTAGGAGAAGGTAAGAGATTGAAAGCGTGATGAAGGGCTACAACTTTGAGGGCGTGAAGAAAATAGCACTAAGATACCAAGATCACGACATGCAATTGAGTAAGACACAAATTATAATGAGATGAAATGAATATGTGGATTTAATTACGTAAAATTCTTTTTGATGTCATGAAAAAGGATATGCAAGCATTAAGACAAACTTAAATGCCTAGCATTGCGATGCCACTAAGATGACATCGAGGAGCTAAGCTTTAGGGTTTAAATCAAAGGAACGGCTTTGCACTGCTGCAATAGCGCTACTAAAGCGCTAAACACCCTAATTTGTATTCCACTCTATTATATGTATAGCATAATGTGTGAACTAGTTCACTAAGTTTAACAACTAATATATATA